ATGAACCTGGACCCTCAGACACAAAGTAAGAGAACTCATTACAGGGCTCATGTTCAGTTTCTTTTGACAATACCACTGCGGTGTCAGTACTAAACAACAACACAACAAACAACAACTGAAACTAATTGAGGAGACGATCAATGCAACAAGTTTGTTGCAGCATAGGAAACATCTGAACAACCCCTAACACCAGCAACTGGCTATACAAAACACGAAGAAGAAATTCCAACTGGCTATATTAGTATTATTATAAGTTTTCTGTGTGGTGCTGTGTAGGTTATTTTCCTGACATCAGGAATCATGGACCCCAATCCATAAAAACTGGATTCTAATAATTACCGAGGCATTTATGTGAACAGTAATCTGGGGAAGGTTTTCTGTAGTTTTATGAGTATGAACTTTGTTACCAAGCCAGATTTGATTAATACCAAAACACCAGTCATACTAACACCCTTCATACCTAACTGATAAACCAAAATAAAACCAGAAACACAGAGCAAAATGCAGTGCTATCTGCTTTCCTGGCTGGCTGCTCCTTTTTTCAGCTGTAAGCCATGAACGTCACTGTTTTCTTTTATTTTAACATTTGTCTCCTTTTCTGTCAGTTCTGTCTCACTGTCATTTTCAATCTGTTGGTGTCGGTTCATCTGCATCGTTTGTCTTCTTTCTGTCGCTTTGCACTTTTTTGAGCTTGTCCTTTACCATTGTTCCCATTTTTCTGCTGTATCTTGACTCCCATTTTCTGATTCGTCTTCTGTATTTTTCTCATTTTCTTTTTCTGGCTCATTGCTTTTCTTTTTGACCACCTGGGCAGCCCCATAAACAACAGACTGCTCTGCACTGCGTGTACTGACCCCTTTCTATCAGAACCAGTATTAACTGGTTCAGCAGTTTGAGCTACAGTAGCTCGTCTGTTGGATCGGAGTAAAAACTGCTCCAGGTCACAAAGATTTTACACATTATTAATCAAAGTTTTTGTTGTTGTGTTTGCTCATTATTAATTGATTATTAGGTAAGGTAGGACATCATGATGAATAAAACCCTCTGCTGTCTCCATCTGGACTAAGTCATAAACAATCCTCAGAGTTTCAGTATGAACTTATTTGTTATAATGTCATTTAACAAACAATAATATTCCTAGATAGTAGAAGTTCAAATGGTTTAAGTGTGATAGTGTTTTTTTTATAAGGTTGTTTGATATCGGATTGGATTAAATTAATATTTTATTTTGTGTGTGTTTGTAAAAACACTAAAGGGAGCAGATTTATTTTTATATATTGACACAAATAGAAGGATCATAATCTGCGATTAATGACTGTGCATGTTCGATGGTCAGACCTGCTGGTGGAGCACTTCCATCTTTTATCTGTATCATTTATCATGTTTGTACCGGGTTTGTCTGTTGTCTGAGCTGTTTGTTGTTTTTATATTTTTTTTAAGAGGAATGTCTTTTACTGCAAACCAAATCTACCTACGGGTACAAATAAAGTAACCTAACCAAATCTGTATTTTTCTAAACTACAATAAGGCCTTTTATGAGATACAGTGCCAGTAGAAGAAACACCAGAGCCAGTGTTGGTTTGTGGTCTGAGGTTGAATGTCAGAAGTCTGAGGATCTTCTCTCTGCTGACCTCCAGTGGTCAATACTGGAAAAACATCGACTACTTCAAGAACTACAAGAAATCATGATATACAAATAATATTTCCATTACTAATAATATCATAATAATATCATACTTAACTAAATAATGCAGACAGCAGTTTCTATACACTGTATACCATCTTTGTTGTTTACAGCCAAACAATAAATGAAGCAACCCGCTCTCTTCTGCTCAGCCTTTGACCTTATTTATACCTAATAAAATACATTTACAGTATTGTATTTTTATTCTAATTGTATATCAAGGTACAGTTTAAATTGATATGAAACAACTAGAAAAAAGAATAAAAAATGCCCTCGGGCCAGTAGTTTGACATCACTGGTTTAAATACTATTACAACTGATCAAATAATTACATTTGTTCACTCTAATCAGACTCTAATCATCCTGTGCTCGTGTCCTTCAGTACTGGTTTTACACTTTTGTCCGTTTAGAAGTTAAAACAGTCACAAACTCAAGTGAATGTCTAAAATAACATTAAAAACTCACCCAACGATGATTTTACTAGAGACAATAAACTCTGATTCACTCTTTACACTTTTCTGAGATAATTGTTTAAATACTGTAAGAACGTTTTCTTCATTTCATTCCTGTGTGCAGGTCTTTGTGCCTGTGAACTTATCATTATTAGGGGACGCTCAATGTTCCTGCAAATAATCTCTCAGCCGGGAATAGATGTTTTCCTTTTACCCTTAAATGGTTTCTGTATCGGGGGAATCAGTCCTGCCTGTGGGTGGAGGTCATAGGTGTGGCACTTTAGATCAGGATCTGTGTCAGAATCCAAACTGTCAGCATATATGAACAGCACCACCAGCCCTGGGGTAAAAGTTATTTATTCAGGGTTATTACATTCTGGGTACTACTTATTCTGATTGAGACAATAATGGTCCTTAAGGAGGATTTTCTGTAATAAATAACATTTTAACAGCTTTGAAAATCTTTAAATGTCTGTATCCTGGAGGCCACACTTCCTAATATAAAACAGGATAATCACAGGAGCTTGGGTACAATGACATAGTTATACTTAACTATTGCTTTTAAAAACTACAAATACAAAATATGAAAGAAAGTAGTTAATGACACTAAAGTACTCTTCTGTCTGCGCCACAGTTCAACTGAACCTGGAGCTAAAGCACTAAGTGTGGTCGTTATGTTGATCACTGGAAACCAACACTGATCTCAAGGTCCATTTAGTAGCTTTAAATGACTTTGATTTTGCTGGTCTTCTGCAGTGGGACGTAGCTCTCAATCCTACACTGCCAACCCCTCCCAGCTTTCCTCCCCTCTGTCCCCCTTTCCAGCCTCCCCCAACTCTGAACTAGTGTCCTTTAATGGACTCCTCTCTCAGGGTTGTACCTGTGTGGACACACTGTTGTGGACATGTAGCTTCCTGCAGATAGTCCAGCTGGTGAATGGGGGGTTGGAGATTTCTCAGCTTATTACAGGCCTGATTAGCTGTAAGGAGATTAGAAGCGCAGGTTAACAGGCGCCTCAAAACACTTTTTCTCAGCCGTAATATTTGCTTCACGGTTCTGAAACTGTGGCAGAACTCAGCCGACCCAGAGGATGATGGGGCGTCAGAGGGAAGACCGCCAAGCAGCCAGATGTCTGACAGCTTTATGTGGACGAGGTAAAATTCTGTCTTTATCTTCAGCATCGTGGTTGTGTCTGTGCCGGCATCAGATAAGTTCAATACTCTCTGGAGAAACAGTTTATTAATTAATAACTATCAATCATTATTGGTGACTCATTAAAGATAAGATCATGTTTCCAGTTTGATCAGAATATTTCACTCTTACTGATCAGTTCCAGTGCCTTAAACCACAGAAAGACTCACTGAACACTGTCAGAGGGCTCAAATAACAAAAGCAGAGGACCCTGAAATCTTCATGTTTTATGTTAGTTAAAACCTTTTTCTTTATAAACAAACAAGGACCAATTATCTTTGTAGTTAGATTTTATTTAAAAAGGAAGTGTATATGGTTGATGAAGGGACCAAATATTTCTCTGAAAATGTACAATTTGAAATCACTATTCAATGCAAATGTATTAACTCTACTCTTAATTCAATTCAATTCAGTTCA